ATTGTGTAATAGATTTAACCTCTTCAAGGACATTTGCAGAAAAACTGCACTAAGTACAGCATAAAAAACAGATAGCATTAGTCACTGAGAGTACCCATCTATTTACACCGTGACCGGACGAGCATCTTACCTATAAGGCGATGAACGCTTGAAAATCGTTTGAAATTAACTCGACTACAATTTTTAAGACGATTTTATTACTTTGATCTATGTCGTATCTTTAACGTAATATTCACGAACTTCGTCCGATTAACTAGAATATATGCATACGTATGACGGATCAATGACACTAATAATTTTACTACTTTGACCTGGATTCTGGACTATTTAATTATTATTTTTTTAACTTATTCTTTAAGCATATTTTTTGTTTGTTTTATAACTAGAGAAATTTACGTATCTACATTTCCGCCAGTTAAAAAACCGCAGTTGTTTTCGTTTATAGTGGTCATGGCTGAGTCGCTGGAAGATTTGGGGCAGATGCTCGGTGACCTCAATAGAGTTTCCCAACGAGTGGGCCTTAAAATGAATATGGATAAAACAAAAATCATGTTCAATGTCCATGTTAAGCCCACCCCAGTAACTGTTGGGAACTCTACTCTTGAAGTTGTAGACGAATATATATACCTGGGACAGGCAGTCCGATTAGGTAAGTCAAACTTCGAGAGAGAGGTCAGTAGGCGGATCCAACTCGGGTGGGCAGCGTTCGGTAAATTAAAAAATGTGTTCTCGTCCAAAATCCCTCAGTGCCTTAAGACAAAGGTATACAACCAATGTGTGCTACCAGTGATGACTTACGGTTCCGATACGTGGTGCTTCACAAGGGATCTTTTTAGGAAGCTCAGTGTCGCGCAGCGAGCTATGGAGAGGGCTATGCTTGGTATTTCTCTACGGGACCGAATCAGAAACGAGGAGATCCGTAGAAGAACCAAAGTTACTGACATAGCCCGTAGGATTAGCACGCTGAAGTGGCAGTGGGCAGGCCACATAGCGCGAAGATCGGACGGCCGATGGGACGGAAAGATCCTCGAGTCGAGACCACGTACTGGCAAGCGCAGTGTGGGACGGCCACCTACGAGATGGACCGACGACCTGGTAAGAACCGCTGGGTCACGTTGGATGCAGGTGGCAACGGACCGGCCGCACTGGAGATCACTTGGAGAGGCCTATGTTCAGCAGTGGACAATGGACAGGCTGAGATGATGATGAGTTGTTTTCGCATAAAATACGTAATGGTTTTAAGCTATTGATGAGCCATAACTACCGCGTGACGCTATCTTATCATTTATCATGTTATTCTGTGGCTATCTCAGACGAAGATCGAAGAGTTTGACCGAAAGTTCGATCACTTTAATCTTCTTTACACTGTTTATCAAACTAAGCTGAGTGACAGAAGATCAAAATGATCAAAAAAATAAATAAAACACCAAACCGCTACAACGCACATTCATTTAGATTAAGCTTATAAATTGAAATGCTCGATCGTCTAAAATGTAACTACGTTAATAATTATTAACACAATTGGTGAACCGCGATTATAATATCGTTTATCGTATGACTGGTAGGCCACGGATTTAATTGCATTTCGGAGTTGAAATGTGCACCAGAATTGTAACAGCTTACTAAAACATTTGTTACATACAGATTTTAATGAGACTTGAGCGATGTTTTTTTGTTTTTTGTTTTGTCTATTAAATGTTTCTTCGGGCTCATGCTTATAATAATAACTATTTAGTACTTACTAGCTGACCCGGCAGGCTTCGTAGTGCCTCAATCGATAAATAAAAAACCTAAACTCTTGTATAAAATAAACTTAAATCAAACAAAAGGAATCCGTCCGACGGGGGGGACATCAAAGGAAAAACAAAATTGTAATTTTTATTTAATTCCAAGCTTTTTCATATTTATTTACCTTTTAAACCTTCCCTGGACTTTCACAAATAATTCAAGACCAAAATTAGCCAAATCGGTCCAGCCGTTCTCGAGTTTTATCGAGACTAACGAACAGCAATTCATTCTTATATATATATAGATAGAAGAAGTTGTATAAGTATCTTTTTTTTACAGATGAAAATCACCGTATGTGGGAGGAACCTCACCAAAAACTGCTGCCCCTCACAGCCGGCGCCCGAACCCGGACCGAGCCAGAGCCCAGTCCAGAGAACAGAGTCCAGAGACCATTGAGGATCGACGCAGAACATATTACATCCGTCCCTCTGTCGTGCATAAGTGTGGGAAAATGAAATAAATACAAAATAGTGAAGTAAGTGGTATGCCGTCAAAGAGCTGGATTTGGGCCTCGCATATGATGATCTATAAAAGAAACGAAGAATATCGACATTTCCAACACCCCTATTTCCGTCAGGAGTCAAATGGAAATGGGTGTTTGTGAGCTAGATATATTTGTTATTAGTATAGTTGTCCAGAATAGTTCCGGGCCGTTAGGTCTGATGGTTACAGAAGCTGATAAACGTCAATACTTGAATGACATACCTTAAGACATGAGATTAAAGCTCGATTGTATTGTTCATAATTAGATTGTCACTGGAATAATGTTGCATTCACTAATTTTTGCACTGTTTATAAATTATTTCACGCGGAGGTCTTTAGCGTACGTGTTGACACTTTGTTGTCCTTGATGAAGAATAAAGATCTAGGTATACATATCAAGAGAAAGACTTTCAACACTTGCATTCTCCCTTACATTACTTACGGCTGTGAGACATGGACATTAATTGACAAACATAGAGAAAAACTTGCTAAAACAGAGAGAGCAATGGAAAGAAGCATGTTGAGTATCAGACTTAGTGACAGAATTCGAAATTTGGAAATAATAAGGAATACAAAAGTAACGAATACAATAACTCGTATAGAAAATTCTTAAATGAAGTTGGCCAGGACATATGCTACGTTGCAAAAAAAACAAGTGGAGTAAACAAGTAACTTTATGGTATCCAAGAGGGGACACCAGAAGACAGGGGCGTCCAAAAACAAAATGGAGTGACAATATACGTCTAACCCTAGGACCATACTGGACCAGAGTTGCAGAGAACCGAGCTCAATGGAGAGAGCTAGAGGAGGTCTATGCCACGAGGCAGGCCGAACTGCGAGATATATTATAAGAAATAAAATGTAAAAAAAAAACACAAAAATGTTAAATTTCATCATGCATGTAGTTCGGAATTAAAGGGCTTTATTATTATTATTATTGTTCATAAAGGCTATATTTAATCATTCAAACCAAAATGGTTATTGGTATCTATCCGTGCATACTTACACGCACCCTACCACAAACTATTTGATGACATGATGCTTTACATTCAAAATGGATTGACATTCAACATTTAAGCCGTTAGTGAAGACGGCTTAGCAACTTTTCATTTAAAATATGTAATTGGTACCTGCAACCTGGATTTCTACTATTTCTCGATTTAAGTTTACAATACCGTTTGAAGCCAGCCGTCTTGGCCTAAGGGATAAAACATCCGGTGCATTCTTTCCTAGCAATGCGACTGTGCCGCTCGGTGTTAGAATCCCGCAGGCAGGTGTGAATTTTTCTGTTAAAACACGTACTTAACAAATGTCCACCAATGAATTCCACAGTGCAGAAATAACATCGCGTCATAAAAATCAGACCTGCAAAAATTATAATTCGCGTAACTGCTGGTGCTAGGGTATCTTGTGAGTCCGCACGGGTAGGTACCACCACCCTGATTATTTTTGCTGTGAAGTAGTAATGCGTTTCCGTTTGAAGAGTGGGGCCACCGTTGTACTGTAAAAACTGAGACTTAGAACTCAAGTTTCAAGGTCGGTAGCGGCATTTACGTTGTTCATGTCTGTCGGCTCCGGTGACCACTTAACAGGTAGGTAGGTGGGCCGTATTTTTTATTGTTTAGATGGGTCGAAACACAAATACAACGGCTGACTTATCTTTTAAAACCTATCCCATTCGACCACATGAAATTCTACCCACAGCACCTGTCTTTTCATGGGCGTCATTTGCTAACGTAGAAAACAATCGGTGAATGCCTTGATAACTGTCATCTGGATTACATAGCTTCTTGGCCACAATGACGAAGAGATTTGAAGGGAATTGCGCTATAACCAGTATGGCCTATACCAAAATACATCGACGCATCCCCTTCAGGGTAGATAATAATCCTAATCTCATCAACATCGGTAATGATGCCGGAAATGTCAAACGCTCGAGGGCTAATGAAGTGACGCATGGGTAAGCAATCACACTAGTATCGGGACTACACAATCAGAATTCTAGGTTGATTATATCCTATGAATTGTATATTAAACTAGTTATTCTCCTTATAGGCATTTTGGCTGTGTGATTTCGATCCAGAATAGCATCATCATATCTTCTCTAGGAAGTGGTAAACCGACAAAGGGATTGACTAGAGAATGGTCGTTGTCTACAGGCATACTGTGATCGTCAACCGGCATTTTGTAGTGGTAAAGCGTATTGTGAGCCCACTGGTAGTTATCACCATCCTGCCTCAAGGTTCAAGGCAGTGAGTAATCGGATCTACTCGAAGCGAAACAGCGAATGGATCACCTGAAGCGAAGCGGAAGAAGTGAATTACGAATTGTAAAGTGTTTGTTAAATGTTCTAAGTATTGAATATAGTTTTAATTTATACTTCGGTGGAAGTTTTATTTATCCCGAACCCCACCGCGTAACAATACTATTAATAATCGGACAAACATTTATCGAATAAGGTATTCTGTCTTAATATTAGTGTCAGATTTTATGTATTATTGTTTTTATTACAATGGCTTTGTATTAAATGCTTCGCCATAATTTAATTGATTTTTGCTTTCAAGTTTTTTGTAGTATAATTATCTATTACTCAGCGTCCCTTTAATTTTATGAAAAAGTATATTTCAACTTCGCTTTTAATATTGCCAGTTACTAAAATCAAATTTAATAAAGTCCAAATAAAGCCTGTCGAATACACGTCACAGAGGCGTGCAGCGTCGCCGCGTCGTAACTGTCGAGCGAATACAATGTTTTACGATCTTAGCGATAAAATTATCTACTAGTATATCTACAATATTACATGTTTTGATAAAATATAAAGCAGCTGGTTTTTGTTTTCATTCTACTAGAGGCCTTTTAGTGAGATATTGTGTATCCGTCAAAAAAAAAAACTAAACAAAACATGTGAGAAGACTCTTGAATAAATTTGTGATTATGTAGCGCATGGGGTAACTGCATTATGTGTTATTTGCATTTTTTTTCTATAATATCATTCATCTGTAATATAATTTAGCACGGGTTGTATGTAGCAGATTAATAACTAAGAATAAAATATTTTTTAAGTTTAGTTATTAGGTTTTTTATCCATCTTAGTTGCATCATCTACTTTCTAGTTTATTGTAATATATTCAAAAAGTAAATAGTAGACATGTACTTTTAATGAAAAAAATATTTGTGCGAGGTAAGTTCTTAAATATTATTGATAAAATAAGTGAATTTTAGCTACGTTCTATAGCTGAATAGTATGTGTGTTAGACACGCACTTTCGCCAGATTTCACTTTGTGCCAACAACAGTAACAGGTTTTATGGCAATCGGTTAAACAAACTAATAGATCCAATAGCCCTTGCAAGATCCAATAACCCTTGCATTGGGCGCCTTTAGCTCTAACACTCGGAGCAGGCTTAGGGACTCCAGCGACCGTGCTCGTCGAATTCGGCAAAGAGTTCGACTTGCAACCTAAATTAAACATCAACCCGCTGATTTTCCCGCCGGATCTTCTCAGCGGGTCGCGATTCCGATCCGGTAGTAGATTCTTTCACGAAGCAGCTGCTCTCGAGTTGTTCGGTCTCCTTTGGAGGCGATCGGGTAGCTGTTGACAAATCCCACCCCTCCTGGCTGAGCCCTTGCTCGCCCACTTATCCTCGTGAAACTGGAAAGGCCCCCAAGACACCAGTAATTTCTCAATCATAAAATAAATAAAAACTAGCTAACTTATAAACGTTTCTTTTTTCTATACTTCTATACTAATATTATAAAGAGGAAAGATTTGTTTGTTTGTTTGTATTGAATAGGCTCCGAAACTATTGAACCGATTAGTAAAATCTTTTCACTGTTTGGAAGCTACACTATTCCCGAGTGAGATAGGCTATAATCTTTTTTTAATATTATGGATCCTTACTGAAACTCCAATAATGTAACCCATGGTGTAAAAAAATTACCTAAAATGTTCTTTACATCGCGTGTCCTGCGAAAATATTGATGATAAAATAAAATAATGTACTACGACTTTGTGGAACACATTATTTACAGTGTCGCGACAGCATATGTCTGACTATTATAGTTATGCCGCAATAAGTGTTCTTTTATTTAAAATACAACAACGTCAAATATTGTTGAAATTTTTGTTAAAGACCCGAGCGGAGCCGGAGTGGGCCGCTTGTATATTATAGTGTAAATAATATATAGTAAATTCTCAGCATATTATGTATTGTCCAGAAACATAAAACCATCCAACCAACCATCCCATCGATTAAGTGCATATTTCATTTTACATGCACAGAAAGGTAGTAATTAGCCGGAGACATCTGCGGTTGGTGCTAGTTGATAGGCGTAAACTTTACGACCGGCCTTAAAACGATAACACAGGTTCTAATCTCTGCGCAAACTTTACAGAGTACTTCCTGAGATAAGTATTTAATTCGTTGTTTCAATTGTTCTGTTACAGTATTAGCTGGTACACTTGGCCACTGACATGTCAAAGGTACGAAACGGCAGAGGTTAATTAGCTTGAATTTGTAATTTTTAACAAAAAATTCGAACAGTGTTTTCAAGAAAACTTAAATTTATACTCCACTAGCCGTACTCGCCCGCTTCGCTGGGCATTTAAAATTAACATTATTATTTACTGTCATTATTATTAGGGAGTCCAACCTATCCATTAAGTACATGTATTTTCTAGATGGATACCAAGTTTCAAGTCAATCGGATGCATGGTTCAGTAGTTATAACGGAAAATCCGTAAAAACCACTGTAGATTTATATATAACTAGCGACCCGCCCTCGCTTCGCTTCGGAAACATTAAAACACACATGAAACCAAAAAAAAAAATAATTAAAAAAATTAAAAAAAAGTAGCCTATCAGGGACAATGTCGGCTTCTAATGGAAAAATAATTTTTCAAATCGGTCCGGTAGTTTCGGAGCCTATTCGAAACAAACAAACAAACAAATCTTTCCTCTTTATAATATTAGTATAGATATAGATATAGATTTAGTGTCCAGTTTATGAGTAGAATCTTTAATGTGAATGCACATGTTAAGATTTGACAAAATCCAAATACAAGGAATACAAGTTAGTTCCACGCGAGACCATTGAAATAAATAATAGCGCAACTTTAAAATAGTTGGACTTTAAGTAATACTTAGAGGTTCGCTTATCATGAAAATGAAACCCTAATTCAGACCAATGGCCAGATCTGTAAGAGAAAAGAAAACTTTTTTTGAATACTGGCGTATATCCTTAGAAAAATAGGTACCTAACCACGAGATATGAGCAATGGCACAGCATCGCTTGATTACACTACGCGTCTCGCCCTTAATAGGTGCGGTGACCACTTATTAACAGACTGGACTGAATGGACTGTGAGCTTGTTCTTCTAGCGATAGGAGTAAAACAATCGTATTCATAATTCTATTTACTAACAATTTAAGTAATTATTTTATATGGCTAATAAATTGAGGTGAAGTAGAAAGGTCAAGGGGCCATTACATGCGTTATCCTTGTACTTATACAAATATTATAATAATAAAACAGAAACTAATATAAAACTGAGGCTGGTCATTGGTCTTTTCGATTATCCGACCGAAAGAAGTAAACCTTTGAAAGCGTCTTTGAAGGTCCGATGAGTAACCCATGTTACGCGTTCCATAAGAGCCAGAGCTTCAGTCCCCGGTGTACTATTGACAAGAACAAGTCTCTCAATCACGTGCTGTACAATGCAACACACATGCTCAACTAACTCCGAACTACTTCTTACTAAAAAAAAACTTCTTGCTAAACAGTCACTTTATTTAATTTTTATTACCCTTGTAAGCAGACGAGCATACGGCCCAGCTAATGGTGAATGGTTACTGTCATTCTTGGCCATCAGCAATTTCAGAGCCACAGCCAAGTCGCGGACTACCCTTGAGTACTCACTATAAAGCTCGATTGAAAAAAACATGTATTAGCACTCAGGAAACACCGAAGTGGGGAGTTCATTCCAAAACCCGATGGTGCGTTGCAGAAAAGATCTCTGGAAAACCACTGTGAATGAACGCAGTGGTTCTAGGTGGTATGGATAAACTGAAACGATACGGCCGGTCAACATCACGCAATCGAACGTTTGCGCAATGCAAACACCGAATAAAATCCCTCACCAGTCTTCCAATACTTGCAATGGCATTAAAGTAAGCTGATAACTATTTTTTTAACTACCTCTTCTAGTGACCTCGATAGGTGAGCTCACGGAGCTCTAGCCCACTGAGTTTCGCGCACGATCTTCTCAGTGGGTCGCAATTCCGATCCGGTGACTGCTCTTGCTAGGGCTAGTGTTAGCAAATTCTCTCAGGTTGAGCCCGTAAGCTCACCTACTCGTCTGGGCTAGCTGGAATAAGGTAGGCAAAAAAACGGAGCTCTAACCTGGGACGATGCTAACACTAGCCCTAGCAAGAGCAGCGCTTCTCAGATGAGAACAAAGATACACTGAAAGGCTTTATATACGAATTGCGCTAACAAAATTATGACTAAACATAATCTTCAGCTGTGAAGGCCGGGACAAGAAATGCAGTAAAAAAGTACTTAACGCAAAATTGTAAACAGCTTGTATTACAAATTAAAGTTAACCTAAGGATTTTAAATATGCTTGAAGGTCAGTGTAGTAATTAGAACTAAAACGCGAGAAGTAGACGTGTGTGTAATATTGTGTAAAACTATAAAAAATAAAGAAACTTATCAGACATTGTCCGAGACTAGGTAAAAGTAACGTTATCTATATATAAATTATCGTGACCTTCGTTTGTATCAACGTGACTAAATTGATCGCTTGACTTTTAAATGCGAGTTAAGTTCATTGCATTTCAAATGCAAAGTACCTTAATTGTTTTGTAATAATTACATATTTTTACTGTTTTTTTATTGCTTAGATGAGTGGATGAGCTCACAGCCCACCTGGTGTTAAGTGGTCACTGGAGCCCATAGACATCTACAACATAAATGCGCCACCCACCCACCATCAATGTTCATTTGCATTTTTCCTTGTTTGTCCTCTGCTTTGTGAGGACTCTCGGTTGGATTTAAAAGAAAGGGTTTAACATAGTACCATCAACTGATGACGCGCGAGTACTTTGAAGAAATCGATGTTTTTCTTACGATTAGCGTTGATCTTATCGGAGTGAGGATCTCACTATTTTTTTTATATTATACATAAACAATAAACTAGATAAAAAACGTCTATCACCCTACATTTATAAAATTTGGTAGCCAATACTTTTAAGAGTCAGACTTTGTTCAGGTGTACATATTTAATAACGTATTAATGAAGTACCTTAACGTCACATTGTTTTATAATTTACTATCTACTTCGGTTCCGGTCCAAAGAGTAATACAAAAGCTATTGAGTATATCTTATACCTCAAGGTGGAAAATAGCACTCACGGTACATTAACAAAAAATAGTTTCATCTTTGATTCGTTTATCCGGTGTTCTTAAAATGTAACAAAACTGTCTCAGAACAAATTGGCCAACTTGATCTGAGACCTTGATCAACATTATACAACGAACAAGTATCTTCTGCTAAATTTGGCAGATATTACCAACATGTCATTTAAAATTTTACAATGTCAAGATCAAGAAACTACCGTTTGGCAAGTAACCAACTGATCAAAATCCAGTACACCGTTTGAAAAGCGAATCGATAAATAAGAAACATATAACTATTATTAATAATTTCAGTTGTTAACAAAATGTCTTTGACTCAAGTCGAACAAGGAACACTGGATGGCGTTGTTTGTGATAATGGAAAATACGTGGCGTTTAAAGGAATACCATATGCTAAACCACCACTCGGAAAATTAAGATTCAAAGTAAGTACCTACCAAATTAAGACATACCGATAGACTCGGTTACTTAAGCATGTTTATATTCCACATGAAAGTTGTTCATTAGTATTCAGTAGCAAACAGATTGCGGTCATAGATGCTTTTTATGTTTTTGTACATTTACTGAATAAAATGTTACAATTGTTACGATGTGGTAGCATTTCATTTAGGTATTTTATTTTAATAGGCCCCAGAACCACCTGAAACTTGGGACGGTATCAGAAATGCTAACGAACACGGCCCAATATGTCCACAATACAACGAAAGAATGAACAGAATCGAAGATGGAAGTGAAGATTGTCTCTATCTCAACGTGTATTCTAAAAATCTGAAACCGACCACACCTCTTCCAGTCATGGTTTGGATACATGGTGGAGGTTTCTATACGGGATCGGGAAACTCTGAATTTTATGGGCCAGATTTNGGTATCAGAAATGCTAACGAACACGGCCCAATATGTCCACAATACAACGAAAGAATGAACAGAATCGAAGATGGAAGTGAAGATTGTCTCTATCTCAACGTGTATTCTAAAAATCTGAAACCGACCACACCTCTTCCAGTCATGGTTTGGATACATGGTGGAGGTTTCTATACGGGATCGGGAAACTCTGAATTTTATGGGCCAGATTTTTTCATGGAACATGAGGTAATACTCGTGACACTTAACTACAGACTAGAAGTTCTAGGGTTCTTGTGTCTAGACAATGAAGAAGTTCCAGGAAACGCTGGGCTCAAAGATCAAGTGGCCGCTTTGAAGTGGATTAAACAAAATATCGCTGCATTCGGGGGAGACAAAAACAATATTACACTTTTTGGGTGCAGTGCAGGGTCGGCCTCAACATCTCTGCATTTAGTATCCGATATGAGCAAAGGACTATTCGACAAAGCCATTTGTCAAAGTGGTGTTTGTTTAAATGAATGGGCATACAATTTATATGCACGCGAAAGAGCCTTCCAGTTGGGTAAACTCTTGGGGAAAGAAACTGAAGACGAAATTGAATTGCTAGAATTTTTAAGAAGCATTCCTGCTTCTTCGCTTGTCAACAACGAACTGCCATATCTTCAAATAAATAACATAGATTTAGTAGACAATATAAAGTTCGGACCGGTAATAGAAAATCCAAATCTCAATGTTGAAAAGTTTCTCAACGAATCACCGGTTAACTTAGTTAAAAAAGGACATTTGGCAAATATACCCCTAATTTTGGGATACACCTCAGGGGAAGGAATAGAAATTGTCAGAAACCTTCCCCGTATTGTCAATTACTATTCAATGGTAGGGAGCGTCGTGCCACGGGAATTAAAATTGAAATTGCAATTGGAAGATATAAAGGAATTGGATGTAAAAATAAGAAAACATTACTGTGGAGGCAAAGAAATTACTCAAGACATGTATCAAGAATTGGTGGATTTAGAAACAGATCGCCTTTTCGTGTATAACATCATTAGGTATGCGAGGTATCATAACCAACATAATTCAAAACCCGTGTTTTTATACAAGTTCACTGCCGAAACCGAACGAAATTATACTAAAAGGAATTACAACATGAATACAGTAAAAGGAGTCTGCCATTCTGATGATTTAATGTATTTTTTTAATGTCACTTGTCTCGACATACCTCTCACACAAGAATCTAAAGACATAATCGACAAATTGGTACGCTTGTGGGTCAATTTTGCAAAAACAGGGTAAGCCTTTCTATTATAATATATATTCTATATAATATAGCCTTTATATTTTTATTTTATTCGCCTAGTGGTCAAATCTCTACCATAATCATTTACTCTCCGAGTTTCGGGTTCATTTATTACAGAATTGTTTATCGACTTTTTCTTAGGCCCGAAAATAAACTATTTCCAAATTTATTAAAAACGAACGTTCGTACCTATCGCTACTAAACAAATAAAATTGGTTGAAATACGGTGCATAAAATTGTTTTATCTTTGTTTATTCAGTATTTATGTTTACACAAGAACATCTATTATTTACGGATCACAATTTCCACTCATTACGTAATAAAATAACACAAGTATACAATTTAAAAAGCTTTTAAAGGAACACTTCGGTGGATAAAGAGCGGTCTTTGTTTCGTTCATAACGTTAATTACTTTTTCAATATTTCAGTTTCCCTGTATCTGAGAGAGAAAGTGAACAATGGAGACCGTTCACGAATTCCGAAAAGAACACTTATATTATTGGGAATAATTTTAAATCCGTTCAAGATGAAGATGATGAAAACATTCGGTTTTGGGATGAAATTTACAACGAAAATATTTGAAATCGATTTTTTTGTTGTTTTAATATGTAGAAATTCCTCAATCATTAAATATTATAATTGCACACGATAGTTGGGTGACGCGATAATCGGGTTCCAAGTTTTTTTTCAGGTCAGTGTTACTACATAATTAAATAGAAATAAAAATTCAAATACATATTCAATGCTTAATTATTTATTATGTAACCATACACAACGTATTCTTAAAAAATAATTTCTTTACTCTAATGGAGGTACTTACTCGCGCAAAAATTACGTTCTTCAGTATTTCAACTCTGACTTAAATAATAGAAATCCACGTGCAATCCACTCGTATGATTGCAAGCACAGAACATTTTGCTGATTGTTCACCATCGATTGCAGTTTTGTGCCATTCGACAAAATAGCTCTGACGACATTTACCTGAACAAGAACTGAAAAGTTACGTCAGTAAGCATTCAACTTCTACGCATCTCGTAAACAAGATAGTGTTTTTAATTACGGTTTAATATCAGAATCGTTTTTTATATTTTACAAAATTACCAACATTGCGAGTAGCCTAGCAATTTCTGTAGTCACAAACAACTCCTCAATAACTCAGTTTAGTTAAACCTTAAGTCAAATCACATTTACTACCACAAAATACAGATAAATAGACCAGGTCTGCCCATACCAAAGATTTTGACCATCCAAAATATAGTGCGACATGGACCAACCGCACATGTTAATCAAATGCCACATTCTCCAAAAAACTTTCGGGTAAACTCTTATAATGTTAGAATAAAAACTGAACCTCACAAGAAATGTATTTTATGAATCTTATTTTAATTTTCTCTTTATTGTGACGGGATCAAGAACTTCAGTTTTAATTTTACTAATTATGAGTTTACTAGTTTTACCAATTTAGATAGCTATTAAAATTATTAAAATAATCTCAGCTAAACGAGGTTTCTTTGTTAGGTTCTAAATTACTTTTCAGAGCAGGTATAATGTCAACTTTTAAACCAGGCATCTAATTACTACGATAATAATATTTTAAACACTAATTTGTTTTCATTAAAAAATCACATTTTAATTATAAATTTGATTCTTAAAACACCGAAGGCCATCCTTCTGCTAACGTCAGAAACGAGTAGGTAAATAAATAAATGATCTTTCAATATTTTTTTATAATTAGTGATAAGTCTTAAATCACGCTAATTATAGATATCTCGATATACAGGGTGAGTAGATTGGTCCCGATGGCGAAACGGCAATAAGTTGCTATTATATAGACGGAAAGTTTCGTTTAGTGAGCAACGGAAAAACGTTGGCAAAAAATCGAAAACATGCGTGAAATACGCATGCGGTAAAAGTGAAACCGATAGAAGTATTTCTATCACCTTCTCTCTCAAGCTAAATCCTATAGATGTTTATCTGTTTTAACTGTCGCTTTTTGACTGTCATATCGGGTCTCAATAACGATGCTCAGAAAGTTTGGCCTTCAATATTATTACTATAACGCCATTGCATTAATACTGGTATCTATTAATCTGGTATATATATTAATAATATGGATTTCTTTCGCTAGACTAGCAGTCCATTGCGGTTTCATCTTCGGGAAACATTACCTTACTCTATATAGACGAAATATTTTGAAATTACTCCGAGCCGCAGTTCATTTTTTTACCAGATCTACGGTGTTCGTCGATAGATGGCGCTGCAGACATTTGATTAACACAAAAAATATTTAAGAACTCGAACTGTAATCTATCTCAAAACATTTATTTGTCTTTAATACTTAGAGTAAAAGGTAGCGAGGATATGTGTATTATTAAAACGATGGCGGCAATTATTCATTAAATTTCTACAAAACTATTACATCCCTATTGTATGGTTACAATTATTTACATTTCATTCTGTCTTATTCAAATCAGTTTTAACTCTCAAAACAAAATTATGGTATGGCCACTAAACTATTCACCGAATCAAACTATGAGAATGTAACTGTGGTTTAACACGTTGACTTCTGTGTAGGTCATCGGTGCCCTACGTGGGGCACTAAAGTAATTATGTCGATTTCTGTCTTCGATCTTCTTACTAAGGCGCTGGAATATCTAGTAGACTCTAGGAAAGACGAATCCGAAGATACTAAGATACATACATTAGAAACAAAAAAGACAAAGTTAGGCAATTCCGGTGCTCATTAACAGTAATCGACCTAGTGCGTTACTTCATTGCGCCACTTAAGGCACCAGTGACCTACATGGCAGTCAAAGGGTTAATTATTGTTTACGTTAAATGATCGACATAATAAAATAAATTAGACATATCGCACCTTTAGAATAAAAGTGGCTTAACTAAAATTTTAAGAAAATGAGTTTTATACTTTGAACGATTTATAAGCATGTATTCTATCAGATTATAAAATATATACATATTATTATAATTAAAAATAAAATTTTAATTTTAGCTCGAAAAGACGAAGTACACTTTCCGTCTCTTTTAAAACAAGCGCATTCATTAATCTTTAAGGTGTGCGCTTTAAAGATAAAAGTATTGAAATCAAAACTGAAAAATTACAGTTCTTTTTTTTTTCTACCTATGCTGATAGCCTTAAGAGGCTATTTCAGCTTCTCCTTGACGTATAGGTGAGCTTTAGGGGCTCAAACCGGGAGTGTTGCTAACACTGGCCCTAGCGAGAGCAGTGCTTCGCAGAATCTACCACCGGATCGGCAACGCGACCCACTAAGAAGATCAGGGGAGAAAATCAGCTAATTCTTCAATTACATTTTTGGCGTTTACCAAAAAACAAGAATTTTGAATCAAGCTATTTCAATTCTAAAGGTGCAATATATGCACACAGCATCTCACATACACCATTATTAAGAAGCATTTGGATGGCCGTATTTAACAGTCTTTTGATGTAAGTTGTCAGAATGCCATCAATTTAAATTTAATTGTATTCAAAACATAGTAAATACAAAACTGTATTGAGATTTGAGGCACCACAAATTTCGCATCGTCGTATTGACTTAAGACGCAGCTCACGCCGACTCCCGTTTCAAAGCCAACAATGGACGGTTCACCCGATTTTGTGATTACATTAATGACAATTTACTCATACTGTACTTGTGCAAGCGGTTAAACTGATAACTTCTTTAATTGAAACTTCATTATATATTATTCAAATATGTTTTAATGATAAGTGACCGTGATTTCATCCACACCAATTTTATACCTAACAAACACGTTACACCGGCTTCTTTCAATCATCATTGAAAAGTCCTTACAAATTTGCTCAGTCATTACGAAGGTATGCAAACACAGATTATAAAGTTATTTAAAGTTTCCTTAACAATTCATTAATTAAATAATGTGTTCTAACTTAAATTATAAGATTATGAATTTTTCTGTCACAAATTTTTTACAATATGTATTAATAGAAATGTGAAATGCTTTGAAAATGACATAATTTTTTACTGAAGCCGCATACAAATTATTGTAATTTGTAAACCTGACAATACATGTTGACACAAAAAGCATGCTCATGTTATTTGCATATTGATCAAGTCCGTACAAAACAAATGTCAACCGCCATGTCAATGACTATCGACTTCTAAATATCAAGCCCACCTGTGATTTATGCACTGAGACCTAAACATTTACTAAAGCAAATTAGCCGTCTATAATTTAGCATTAGGATTTGCTCGATGAACTGTAGTTCCCTTGTATTTCCCGACATAATGAAATACTGCTGGTGGTAAGACTAATTGTGAGCTAAGCACGGTTACCACCATCATGCACTCTTTTGTTGCAAAGCAAATCTTTCTATCTGGTTTAAGCCGTGGGAAGCCCGTTATACAATACAACACAATAGGTGTTAGTCCGTTAAATCTTATAGTACAACAAGTGTTAGAACTCAAGTCTCATGGTAAGTGGTGACCTTCATGTTGAATAACTGTTGTGGACTTGTAACTGATGGTCATGACATGGTGGTAGGACGTCATAAGTCCGCACGGGTAGGTACCACCACCCCGCCTATTTCTGCCGTGAAGCAGTAATGCGTTTCGGTTTGAAAGGTGGGGCAGCGGTTGTACTATACTGAGACTTTGGAACTCATATCTCAAGGTAGGTGGCGGCATTTACGTTGTAGATGTCTATGGGCTCCGGTAACCCTTTAACATCAGGTGGGCCGTGGACTCGTCCACCCAACTATGCAATAAAAAGTAAATAAAAAAAAACATGGATGGTCGTTATATAAATATGTGACAGTTATAATGTCATAATTAATGTGACAGTGAAATCACTCTCCACAAAAGAATTCTCTTAAAATATTAAAGAATATTAATACGTATTGTTTATATTTCTTTATGCACATCAACAGATGAGCTCGCAGACTGCTTGATATTATTCAATTAACTCAGTACAGATAGAAAGACACGATAGTGAAAAGATACCACTTACTTACTTTATATAGAAAAAATAATTTTATAACGATGCGAGATGCGTCTTCCTATGTATTACTAAAATGATAATAATGTATTGAGGCACTATGCGGATGTTTACGGAACGGTCGCACTAACAAACGTGCTCACATATCGTGTAAAATTCGCGGACAGATATGCGGAACATTAATTTATATTTTTTCAAATATTAAATATGCAGACAGTACTACAGTCAAATTATACAACAGAAGTGTATCGTTACTTGATGATAAACATCAACGTTAGTTCTCCGCATACCGGTTTGAGACTTAACATGGGATTCATATGTAAATGCTGGTACCGAGCTACCGAGCTTGTAGCGGAGGCTGTGGTGAGTAGTGGTGAGCAGCGGTCAGTAGCGGCCGGAGCGCGAGGTGCGTGGCGGCTCGCGGCGTCGCTCGCGGGAGCGGGAGCGGCGCCGTCTCTCGCGGGAACGGGACCGGGAACGACGACCGCTCTTGCGACGGGAATACAGGTATCTGTTAACATAAAATCGTCTTTATTTATTAGAATTAAGGTTCATTCTTGACGGATTGATATCTTTTTTTTATTATTTTTTTATTGCTTAGGTGGGTGGACGAGCTCACAGTCCACTTGATGTTAAATGGTTACTGGAGCCCACATCATAGACAGCTACAACGTAAATGCGCCACCTACCTTGAGATATAAGTTCTAAGGTCTTAAGTATAGTTACAACAGCTCCCCCACCCTTCAAACCAAAATGCATTACTGCTTTGTGGCAGAAACAGGCCAGACAGTAGTACCTACCCATTTACATAGTATATAATGTATAGTTGTTAAATATAATTTCCTAACCTAAACATCAGCCCCTTATCTAAACATCAGCCTTCTGAGTTTCTCGCCGGATCTTCTCAGCGAGTCGCGATTCCGATCCGGTTCGTTCATTCGCGAAACAGTTATTCTTGAGTCGTTAGGTCTCCTTTAGAGGCTCTCGAGTAGCTGTTAGCAAATCCGACCCCTCCTGGCTGAGCAATTGCTCACCCAAATTTTGATTGTGACTAATGTGATTATAAGCTCTTATATATAATTATTTACTACTGACCTTCTTAATTCTCTTGAAATAGGTTTCAGATGCATGAAGTTGCAAAATCCACTTCGGGTGCATTCTCCCATCTCATACTGACGACAGCATGCTTCGCGAAAATCCGTCACCGGCGAGAGTTCTGCATAGACTGGCCGGCCTCCAAACCAGCGGTTATTTAAATCGTTAACTGCTTTCTCAGCATCTTCCTCTCGACGAAACTGAAACGAAATTTTAATAATGTTCTAACTTCTATTGATACAGGAGTCCAATTATCAATAAGTCATATAAATAAACTAAACTTATACACTATTTTCCATAATAGCTACTTAATTAGGCAACTGGTAATAGAGCAAATTGTGTACTATTTTTGCCATGGCTTTAAACAGGGACCAAATTTTATACCTAGAAGTAAAAGATCCATGGATGTCATTATAGCTTAAATCATAAGACCATTGTCTACTGGTACACTGCTAGTAAATGACAAAATGCCTAATATTGACCTTAGTAACTATGCAGGTGTTCAAATTTCACAGGCAAGTACATATTTTTCTTGTGAAACACATAATTGACAGGTGGACTCCACTATGAAAGAATTAAGATGAACATGAGATTAAGACCCCATGTCCCAAAGAGGGTGACAACATTCATGTGGTGATATCTATATAATCACTTAAAATTTGGTAGCCAAAGATTAAAAAAACCTATTCGTTGGTAGCCTAAGGGACTATTCCGACTACGCCTGGACCTGTAGGTGAGCTCAGTGGGCTCAATCTGAATGAATTTGCTAACATTAGCCCTAGCAAGAGCAGTGATTTTCATAATCTACAACCAAATCGAAATCGCGACCCACTGAGAAGTTCCGCCGAGAAACACAGTGGGCCGTGTCTACGGGTTAGTTCGCGCGTCGAACTCTTCGTCGTAATCCACGAGATGAGCGACGACGGTGACCGGTGCTTGAGGAGCCTAAAAGGACCGAAAGTGGATCTGGGGGATCCGACAAGACATGTTCTGGACGACGGTGACTTTGCGTTGCCTCTTCACCTGGGTCGGATAAGTAGTCAGCGGCTGCCAGGATAAGAGGATTATCATGTCTCCACGCTTTTTCAAAGTAGCACTCTGACGCTTCCTTGAGATGCTTACGTACCGGTACTAGATTTAGAGCGCCGTGAAGATCTACATTCCTCACATATCAGGGTGCTCTGATAGCTAACGAACAATTTAAAATTTAAATGGGCCAAATGAATTTTTTTAATTAATGTTGGTAACCAATTTTTTTTAAGAAATATTACTAAAATATGATATCTTTTAAAATAGATCAATTATGTTACCATTCTGAGACGGTTTTGAAAGTTTAGCACCTCTTTAAAAAGATAATCTATATGGGTAATAATTATTTCAATGCTATCGAAGCTTAAGTTAAGTAATTACTGCAATTGTTACACTTCCATAAGCATTTTACTTAGCCTTTTAGCACTTTTAACCACTAAAACTACCGTAAACCTTTCTCTTGAACATTGGTAATACCCTTGCCTAATATATCTTAAACAATCAAAAAGAACCTCAATTGGTTTATGCTTACTTAGCTTAGAACTGAAAACACTAAAAGATGAAAATGAATTATGAAATGAGAAAAACTAAAATTTCAACCTTCATTCTTTTCAAGATTAAGTTACAACTACATTTTGCACTTATATTAATTACTCCTGTAATAAAAAAATATATATATATAGAATTTAAATATACTTACTTTAATATAAACATTTCCAACTAAATGGTCCCCAAGATTGTCACAAACATTCATTTCTTCTATCTCACCATATTTATCTTCGCATTCAACAAATACATCTTCAAAAAAGTTGTCATAGTGTTCCTGCATCTCTTCATCAGACACGTTGGCAACAACCACTGTTTTATAAATAAAATAAATTCATTTGAAAATTATCTTCATTATTATTTGATATTGTAAATTGAAGTACAAACAATTTAGCTTTAAAAATACTTTATAAATTCAAACAATGAAGTAATGACACTAATTTTCTGTTTAATATTCAATCATAAATAATCAATAAAATTATAATACTATCACAAAAAAATTATTTACAATGTAAAGTGTAAAGAATCCTACTCTCCAAAACCAAAATAGGTTTTGACTTAATGAATTATGTGAATACATTTAGAAAGCTAAGCATAAATTTAAGTCATTTTAATTAATTCATATTTTATGAACACGTAATGTATAAACTAAGGCTGGACTGTACATATTCTTTCAGAAACGTATTTTCCTTGTCCACTGCTTTTAAATTATGTTATGTTCCTACACTTCCCCGTTTTTGTCCCCGTTTATGAATTTAAAAAGAATAACATTTAGAATTTTTAGAAAGAATTCAATGCCACATGATCAATAATTAACTTAGTATGAATGAAAAATACTTACAATGACTGCCATCGGCTGATTTCGCAGAATTTTGTGGATTTACATACAAGTTTTGTAGTAATACAGTCTGAGAAAAGGTTGGCTTGTTATGAATGCGTGAACAGCGATCACCGTGTCGGCACGCTCCAATTTTGAAGTAAAATGAACAGTTTACTCTGAAATTTCACAAGCTATTTATGTAGAATAATATCCTAGTCTCTGTTAAAAAAATAATCAGCAATGGTAATAGCTCTAGTAAAAAAAATAAGTGTATAAAGCTCTTATCAAAGCGGGTTCGAATTTTTACTGACACACACGCAAAACATAACCTCTTGATCCAAAATATTTGGCGCTAATTTACTTCAATGTTTAACAATTTAAATATTTTTGCAAATCGAACTTACTTATCCTTTTCTGTACCAAATATAGCAGCCAAGTACTCTGCCATTGTTATATCGTAGAAACGAACACCGGATCAAACCAATATTGTCAGCAGATGTATCACCAATTTAGGTATTTAAACGTATAATTCAGATAACAATGTGAAAATATCATTTAAAATTTCTAATTATAACTAGTATTTAACTATTTAAGACAATCATGTCAAATGCTACTGGTATATCTAAAATACCGAAGAAAAGTCCATGAAATCTCTGAAATTAAAAATTGGCTTTATTTGCAATGTTGCCATAGACTCCATACACTCTCCGGCAGTAAAATTATTACCTACCAACGCTTAGGTACCGTAAAATGGGGCGATTAGGGATTAAGAGGTGATTGAGGAAAAAACCAGGAAAATCTTTCGACGCTCAATATTAGTTTTAAATTCGTTGCAAAATCTTCCATTTTTTGTAGTTTAATAGTAGAATGTTGAAAGTTCACAAAACAACTCTNTTGCCATAGACTCCATACACTCTCCGGCAGTAAAATTATTACCTACCAACGCTTAGGTACCGTAAAATGGGGCGATTAGGGATTAAGAGGTGATTGAGGAAAAAACCAGGAAAATCTTTCGACGCTCAATATTAGTTTTAAATTCGTTGCAAAATCTTCCATTTTTTGTAGTTTAATAGTAGAATGTTGAAAGTTCACACAACAACTCTGAATACGCAAGATAATAGCTGCTAACTTATAAAAAATCGCGTTTCGAATAAACTTCGTGTGGTGGTAATTATTTTAGTGCTAGAAACTTTGCTCTTTTTTGTTTATTTGTTAACTAGCTGTGCCCGCGACTCCACCCGCGTGGAATAGCGACTTTGGGCAACAGTCTTAAGACATATATTTTGGTTTATAAGCACCGTCATTTAGGTATTTAGAAAAATCTAATTTAAAGTAATGCTTCTCTATACACGATATGACGTATAGCGATCGAGGATCAAAGCATACAGGTTGCTAGGATTGCTAACATGTGACAGAGCTACATAACCGTGTGACCGAGTTGACTGTGTGAAAAGCAGTTAACACTTATATCTACACCCACAACTTTTAGCGTCTGACCTTGGGCTTTATTTATTATCATCACGAAGCATAGGCTCAATGGAAACGCGATCGGTAGTGAGTTGTGCTTCCCGTTCTTCTAGTTTCTCCCGAGACCGGGCAAGCTTTTGCTGTCCGAACCCTCTGAGGGCCCAGACGGATTTCCCTATCAATTAAGGGATCAGACTCAAGCGATAGTGCATGAGCCTCGCAATCGGCAGAGAGACGTGCTTCTCGTTCTTCAAGTTTCTCCTGAGACCAGGTAATTGCTATCCGAGCCCTCTGAAAGCTCAGACGGATTTCCCTATTAGTAAAGGTCTCAGACTCAAGCGATAGTGCATGTGCCTCGCGATCGGCAGTAAGACGTGTTTCTCGTTCTTCAAGTGTCTCCTAAAACCGGGAATTTGCTGTCCAAACCCTCTGAGGAGCTCAGGCGGGATTCCCTATCAGTGAAAGTCTCAGACTCACGCGATAGTGTATAAGATTCACGATCGATGGAAAAACTTGCGTCACGCTGTTCCCTGTTCACCCTAATTCGAGTGGTCTTTTTTGAGAACAATGTGAACTCAATCGAGATTCTCGCTGAGCCGAAGTTTCTCTAACACGAAACCTCGCCTGACGTTCCTGAGATGTAGTGAGTATTGCCTCATGACCTGCTTCAGATTCTTGTGATCAAACTAATTTCATCCTTTTAGCATTCCTACTGCACTGGGAGAGGTTGGATCTTTTTCGAGGCTTGCTTACAATAAGTAGTACCCACTAACACAACGTTGTTTGGTAAACACGTATTTATCATAAAACTAAATTATAAATACTTACAGATTATTACACAGTTTAACTTTATTACAGTTTATTGTTATTAATTATTAATAACTATCAAGTCGTGTCAACTTAATCTTTTAACTATAGAAAACAAACGTGCCTATGGGTTAATTTATTCATCGAGCCCTTCGTCGCAAGCGACGGGTTCGTCAAGGGAGCAGCGACGCGGCATCGGCGCGCTTTGTATACCCGCGCGGCTGCACAGACGTAAACAATCTACAAACGCCCAGCTACGTGATTCTTTAAATTGGCATAACTTTTTTATTTATGAACCGATTGACATGAAACAAACACTAAATGTCAAGTAAAGCGTACTACAATCAATTAGTAACAATTAGTAAAAACCACATTTGAATCGGCAGAGCTGTTTCTGAGATTAGCGTGCGCAAACGCACAGACAAACAGATAAACAAAAAAAAATTCTAAAAATCACTTTTTTTATTTTATTATATTGAGTTCATAAAGCCCCCTATAACAGTTTTCCTGAGATATGTTCCATGTAGAGTCAGCGACCAGTTACGATTTTATTATATGTATTGATAATGATGATTATGATGATGTATTGAAGATTTAACTATTCTAGGACGTTTCAACCTAATCTTTTAAATATAGAAAACAAAAGTGCCTATGGGTTAATTTACTCGTCGAGCCCTCGGCTCGGCAAGGAGGCAGCGGCGCGGCATCGGCGCGTTTTATATACACGGGCGGCTGCACAGACGTAAACAATCTACAGACGCCCAGCTACGTGATTCTTTAAATTGGTAGAACTTTTTTATTTATGAACCGATTGACATGAAACAAACACTAAATGTTAAGTAAAGCCTACCACAGGAAATTAGTGAAAACCACATTTAAATCGGCAGAGCTGTTTCTGAGATTAGCGTGCACAAACGCACAGACAAACAGATAAACAGACAAAAATTCTAAAATTAACTTTTTTGGGTTCTATTGCGTTCATAAAGCCCCCTATAACAGTTTTCCTCAGATATCTTCCATGTACAGACAGCGACCAGTTACGATTTTATTATATGTAGTATTGATAAGCGATAAAAATAAAGATATCTAGTAAGAGGGGGCAACTTAGGGTGATCATTTTTTAAATTAATTATAAATAAATAAAAGACGAAGAAACAATTTTTACATTTGAACATTAACGAACAAACGACGAATAAATAATTAAAAATTTTAAAAAATCCGAAAGTAAAAAAAAGGGGCCCAAATTCATTGAGCCGGACGAAGCCAGTCTCCTGATATTAAGTATATAATCTATGGTTTCCTGTAGTCACTATACATTTTGGGACTTTTTGGCGGGAACGCGATGAGTGAAGTTGTGTGATTTGTTTTATTTTGTCTATTTAGTGTTTCTTCGGGTTTAAATGTGTAATAATGGTGGTTTATTAACCGTTTAATATCTGTGAAAGTGCACAAATGTGGGAAAATGAAACAAAGCCGCTGGACGCAACTTCTCGTGATCCTCCAAAAAGTCCACTGAAAAAATCTTAGTAAATGACCACCATTTTACTGAGATTAGATTTCATCTCATATCATCTCATTTAATTTCATCCCAGTTGATTCATGTCTCAAATTAATCATTTTCATTTCATTTCACTCCATAATATCATTTTTCATAAAATTAAGAATATCCATTACAATAAGACATGACTTAAAGGTCTCAGTTACCAGGTCATAAAATCTCCTTATCTGTGTATCTCTTAGGTTTATGGCGTTTCCTTTTAGATTTCGCCAATGTCAAGTGTATTTAATACTCTGCTTTCTATAGCGGGCTTCGTGAACGAGCAAGGTCACAGATATTCACTAAGAATTAAGTTAAAATCTCCTTAAAAAACAAAACTATACATTTTGCGACTTTTTGGCGGGAACGCGAGGAGTGAAGTTGTGTGATTTGTTTTATTTTGTCTATTTAGTGTTTCTTCGGGTTTAAATGTGTAATAATGGTGGTTTATTAACTGTTTAATATCTGTGAAAGTGCACAAATGTGGGAAAATGAAACAAAGCCGCTGGACGTAACTTCTCGGGATCCTCCAAAAAGTCCACTGAAAAGATCTTAGTAAATGACCACCATTTTACTAAGATTATATTTCATCCCATATCATCTCATTTCATTTAATTTCATCCCAGTTGATTAATGTCTCAAATTAATCATTTTCATTTCATTTCACTCCATATTATCATTTTTCATAAAATTAAGAATATAAAGTAAAATAAGACATGACTTAAAGGTCTTAGTTACCAGGTCATAAAATCTCTTAAAAAAAAAATTTATTGGTCAGGACTTTTTGGCGGGAACGCGAGGAGTGAAGTTGTGTGATTTGTTTTATTTTGTCTATTTAGTGTTTCTTCGGGTTTAAATGTGTAATAATGGTGGTTTATTAACTGTTTAATATCTGTGAAAGTGCACAAATGTGGGAAAATGAAACAAAGCCGCTGGACGTAACTTCTCGGGATCCTCCAAAAAGTCCACTGAAAAGATCTTAGTAAATGACCACCATTTTACTAAGATTATATTTCATCCCATATCATCTCATTTCATTTAATTTCATCCCAGTTGATTAATGTCTCAAATTAATCATTTTCATTTCAATTCACTCCATATCATTTTTCATAAAAATCAGAATATAAATTAAAATAAGACATGACTTAAAGGTCTTAGCTACCAGGTCATAAAATCACTTAAAAAAAACTATACATTTTTTTTATGGACTTTTTGGCGGGAACGCGAGGAGTGAAGCTGTGTGATTTATTTTATTTTGTCTATTTAGTGTTTCTTCCGGTTTAAATGTGTAATAACGGTGGTTTATTAACTGTTTAATATCTTTTAAAGTGCACAAATGTGGGAAAATGAAACAAAGCCGCTGGACGTAACTTCTCGGGATCCTCCAAAAAGTCCACTGAAAAAAATCTCAGTAAAATGACCATCATTTTGCTGATATTATACTTCATCCCATATCATTTCATCTCATGTCATTTCATTTCGTTTTCATTTCACTTCATGCTATTTCATAATAATCAACTTCATTTCATTTCATAATATCATTTTCATATAAAAAGTTACGTATTAAGAAAATTAAAATAAGACTTGACCTAAAGGTTACCAGGTCATAAAATCCCTTTAAAAAAACTATACATTTTTCAGCCATGTTTTTTTGGTTTTATTTGTGTATCAATCGTAGCAGTGACTGTTAACGTATTAGTTTAATTTTTCTGTGCAACTCTCATGTTAATTATACTGTCATCGTAAAATTATCATTAATTTTCAGTGCAATAATTATTTATTTACAATTTATTAATCTGACAAAGACAGTTTTAACTCTCAGTTAATTAAGTGAGCTCATGTAAACAAACGCCA